TCTAACTTAGAGTACCTAGTTTAGACTTAGTTTTGTTTAGTTCGAACTAGCTTAGTGGACTCCTCATATTTTTTAAGCAGTGTAGTCCTTTAACTAATAATGTACAACAATGAGTTAATCACTTTGTGAAAGTCTGTAAAATATTTAGGTATTTCTCAATATCTCAATAAAGACACGCCATTGCGGCATGATTGCGGGTAAAAAAAAAAAAAAAAAAAGAAGAAATTATATAATAAAAAATATACTGTATATACTGTATAATCTTTAAATAAAAGTTTATCAATGATAGTTCCACTAATTCACATTAAAATGCAAACTAATTTAAATTTATTGTAGCATATAGCGATAACGATAATACGAAATTATCATGTAATATCGTTCATTATACGCATGCATGTACGTAGTACTAGCCTTCAAAAAGGATTACGCCAGAAAGTGATGCCCAAAATACCTTCCTGTTTACCCTTTTCCAAATTCAGAAAATACTGTGCGCTGAATCCAATTTTGTATAACAACGAATAAATAAATCTTGTAATTTCAAGAAATTTGTTTCTTGTTCTTCTAAATAAAAGTGATCTTTCGCTTGTATCAAAAAGCTAGGTATGAACAATCTGGGTACACAAAATTAAAGCCAAGATTTAGTGATGCACCAATAACTCCGAAATTCAATATCATTTTCGGATCATCAAACATGTTTAAATAGAAAGAGCGAAATAACAGTTGCAGGTATTACGTATTATACTTCGCATCCAAGAATTCTTGAATTTTAGCTTGGCATGCTCAAATGATGCGTATTCTGTGAGATATAGTATACAGTATATTTAAAAAAAAAAAAATTGTACTATATAAGATTGCTCTATCCTAAACTCCTTTCAACAATTTCTTTTCGTCTCTTTGTAAAGAGATCCTCGTTTTCCCATAATGGCACCACCAACTGATCAAGTCCCTAGTCAAAAATCAGCAGGGGTTCTTAACTCCGGAGAGTTACACCAATCAACTCCAGTTCTAGTTGGAAGATTATTGGGTCAACGAAAGTTTTTTGTAGAGTATTCCTTGTACATAATTTCGATATTAGTCATCTCCTGATCAGTAAATAATTGATAATCCATTCTTTGATGACGCTCGCAGGTAAACGACAGTTCACAAGTCAAACATTTAGATGCATCGCAGATCTCTTCAACCTCTACCATTTTCCTGAGACTTTGTGATGATGTGGAATATACGGTCGATTGTACTTGTACCAAGATTATGATTGGTAGGTTTATATATAATATCAGTATTAACTGAAGTTTCATGTTTTACAAAATTCCTTCGCCAATAAAAAACAAAAAAAATAGAGGAATGTAAAAATCTTGTGTTGATCGTGAATGATAAAATTATCACTTCGATGATTGAGGTTTGGAAATCCGATAATATTACCCTCAAGGTAGAGAGAGATCATATGATTAGTCTTTTTTATTCTCAAATTTTCAACCTGATTAATTGTCGACGTTTACCAAACAGCTTAAAACTCAAGTTCATACAATTCAAGTGGATCAGTGCGGAAGTATTCGAATTCAGTACGAATCCGTCGAAAACTTCCATTCCGTAGTTTGGAATAACACGAGAGAAATTGAATTGAAATTATCAGAAGGTGGCGAAGGTATTTACCAATTTTGAATTATTATTATTATCTCGATTACTCTATATGTAAAAATCTTTTGCATCCTGTACTGAAACCCACATTGATTCTAATTCTGCTCAGAGAAATATACATTGTCCACCGGTGATCTTCACCTGTCATCATCACGAGAATCTGTTGACGTCGAAAATGTCAAGCCTCCGGAGGATAAAGATCAAGAGGACTCCATCAACGAAGCCAAACCACTTAATCCATATCAATATATAATCAGGTTGATTAATGATCAATTGACAACTGAAGAACTTATTCGCGCTGAAAAAGGATTTCCCACAACTGAACGTGAATGGACTGATTGGAAACGTAAAAATAATATTCCTTGAATCCTTATTCCTCCCGATCACGAATTCATTCCTAGGGATTTATCCAAAGAAATTTACATCCTAGTTGTTTGATCCTTTTAAAAATATGTTGACAACTGGCAAACCATTTTTGTCATTCAATAAACACAATCACGTGATAAGGATGCAAAAAAACGGTCGTAATACATGAAATGTAACATACATATGTGGTTGCTTGAATGTTGTTTGTTCTTTTCCACTTTTCCCCAAATTTATTGCCGAAACTTTCGACCAAAAAGAATGTCCACCTTGGATGCTTCTCGAGAGAAAATTGTATTAAATGTTGGAGGTGTAAAGGTAAATAAAAGAGAATCCAGTTCTTAACATCTCTAAACTTTATTATTCGGAATTCATGTTTGGTTTACGAGTAATCGCTTTTAATATATCTTACGTACTTTTTCTTCTTTTTTTTTTTTCAAAAGTACGAAACCTATCGCTCAACGCTAATTGCCTACCCAACAACATTACTTGGCACAATGTTTGCCGATAGAAATAAAGAATTACTGGATCCAACAAATGGAAATGAATACTTCATTGATCGCGATGGTTATTTGTTTAGATATATCATGCAATTCTATCGTATTGGTAAGATCATCTGGCCCGAACCGGATTCCTCATTAGTTTTGACGCCTGCAGATGAAATATCTTCCGTTGCCACCACCACTTTACCTAACATCACTTCGGGTGTCTCTCGAGAAGAACTTTTTGCGGAGGTAGACTATTTTCAACTTCCAATCCCTTTGCCAATTAAAACCGAGACCAAACTTTCCTTAGAGAAACAGGCTCAAAAGGCTGCTGCCTTAAAGGTGGATGCGTTCATTTTGGCACTCAAACAGTGCATCTTTGAATCAATGCAAAATTTCGAGACCATGATTCCTTTCACCTTTCACAGAATATTACGGGACGAACACGTCAATTATTGGGATGAATATGAAAAGGTGTCGCCTCCGATTAAATGTGTCAAACAATTTGCTTGTGTAGGTTATGATATTTTAGATAGACTCGGAAACGAGATTGGAAAATGTTTGAAGAGTGAATTTGGCGAAGAGTTGGGGTGGAAGTTGGAGAAACACGCCTCAATTTCATCGAAGAACGTGGATTATTATAGATTGGCCATTAGTATACCTGAGAATGTCTATGATTCGAAGGGGATTTTGGAATTCAGTTGTCTGGCTAATAGTTAATGTAATGACCACATGGCGCATTTTATCACGTGCATGCACTAAATGAAATTTTCATGTTCTTTATTTAAAATTTGGTGTAACAAATTAACCCTGTAAATAATAAATTCGCTAAACTATACACGCGTTTTGTTATCGTTTTTTTTTTTTTTTTTTTTTTTTTTTTTTTTTTTTTTTTCATTCACCAATCAAGATTCTTGTCACCACACCCG